ATGAGCTGGAGAAGGAAATGGCAAACTACTCCAGCAAAGATTGCTAAGAAAACCCTAAATCGAGTCACAAAGAGTCAGACATGCCTAAAAAGCCTGAACAACATTGAGTCTTATAGCACAGTAATATGCCATTACATTCATATACCATAATTTATTTAGTCATTTCCATAGGATGTATGGGGTACTCAGGAAGGACTAGCACCTCTGCTGAGAGGGCTGCTGAGTATTTTTAAGGCTACTCATCTACCTTTCCTGTCCACCTTTCACTCAACTTTCACCTATGGCTCCAAGAAGCTGTAGCATGTGCAGCAGCCACATTCCCATAAAACAATCTCAGCAGATGAGTTGCCAGATTTAGGGGTAATTGACAGGCCTCAAACCCATTGATGAGTTAGGGGGCTTTCTATCCCAAGTATGTCAAGACTTCTCCAAGTGGAATGGGTAGATGAGAACAATTTGTTCCAATGCCTATGAAGGTGGCTGAAGCTGGTGCTGTGGAGCGCTTAGAGCTTGGTCAAACATCGAAGATGCCAAGGTTATCCACTGCATTCTAGTCCATTGCCAGTTTTCCTGACTTTGATGACTCTGGAAGAGTTTTGCACAACTCTATTTCACTTAAATCTGTTTCACTAACAAGTCAAGACATCACTGATGTCTTTGTTCCTCTTCAAAAATAAAAGACAAACAAGAAGTCATTCCCATATTGAGGGGCATCTACTTTTTCCACAATTCTTTACTCCCACAAAAAGTGTTACTCTAAATATTTTGGTGTAATTGGAGTCCGTCTTTTTGTTACCAACCTTCTTGAAATAGGTACCCAGTAGTGGAATTTTTGGGTTGAAAGATGTGGATATTTTAATCACTTTCTTTGTATAATTCCAGATTGCTTTCCAGGATGGTAGTACTAGTCTGCAGCTCCACCAATAGTGCATCATTGTACCTGTTTTCTTTTTTCTTTTTTTTTCATTGTACCTATTTTCCTGTAATCCCTAGTCTCATCTTTTGTCATCTTTGCCAATTTGCTGAGTGTGAGGAAGAACTTTAGTTTTGTTTGATTTGCTTTTATTTCTGCAATTATTAAGTGATTTGGATCATTCTTTCATATGGTTGTTAACAGTTACCAGTCTTCCTTTGAGAAATGTTTGTTAATATGCTTTGACCACTTTATCTCTTGTGGAATGACTTTTGGTCTTATATAAGACAAGTAACAGAAACCCAAATCTTGAATATCAGAATCTTTTTAAACGCTTTTTTTACTTGTAGAATGCCTGAAATTAAATCATGCCTAAAAACAACACTACTAAAGAAGCTCAAATATTGATTTTGGACTCTAGATCTTATCTTGTCTAGCTAGCTTCAAGCTATCCTGAAAAATTTCCTGCCACAGAATGATACAATTTGAGAGTAGGAAAGTATCTCAGTGACCACATAGTCCAACCCATACATGAAAGGAGTGCCTACTTCTATAGTAAACCTGACAAATGGTAGTCTGCCCTCTTCTTGAAGACCTCCATTGTAGGGGAGCCCACCTCCTCTGTAAGGCAGCCCATTACACTTTTGGACAACTCTGGTTGTTAGGAATTCTTCCTGATATCAAGCTTTAATTTGCATCTTGGCAACTTCCATCCATTATTCCTGGTTCAGCCCTCTGGGGCCAAAAATAATATATCTAATCCTTCTTCTATGTACAACCCTCTAAATATTTGAAAACAATGATCATGCCACCCCCCATATCTTCTCTTCTTCAGGATAAATATCCCTAGTTCCCTCCATCCCTCTTCATGTGACATAACCCTTCATCACCTTTGTTGCCATCCTTTGGACATTCTTCAGTTTGTAAATCAGTGTTTTTCTCAAACTGGTATCCAGGATTAAACACAGTACATACTTCGATACTCTTGGAAACTATTCTTTGGGATGGTGTCTGGAAGCCATGCGTTTCTTAATGCAGAGCAGGATTATATTAGGTTTTTAGGCTGCCATGTTGTACTGCTGACTCATAGTGAACTTGCAGTTCATTAAAGCCCCCAGATTTTTTTAAAGAACTATTGATTAACCAAGCTTCCTTCATCCTATTCTTGTGAAGTTGTTTTTTTTTAACCCACGTGTAAGACTCCACATTTATCACTTATTAAATTACAAGTTATTATTAGATTTAGTCCAGTGGATCTTTTTAGGTCCTGACTCACCTATTGTGTTAGCTAACCTTCCCAGCGATCTATGACTATCTCCGAGTCAGTGAAAAAAATGAAAGCAGTACAAAGCCAAGCACAGATCAGTTAAGTCCTCCCCTGGAGACCTCCTGTCATGTTGACAGGGAGCCATTCATGACTGTTCTTTGAACTTGGCAATTCAAGTCTGTTCAGAATCTCTCAAGTTGTATTATCAGCTGGTCCACAACTCTCCATTTTCTCTAGTTTCAGATACTTTTATCAAATGTTTTCCTAAAATCCAGGTAAACTATATAGTATTTCTCTAATGTATGAAGTTTGGTAACTTTGTTAAAAGGGAAACAAAATTTCCTTGTCTAGCATGACCTATTTTTTTTTTTTTTTTGCATGACCTATTCTTGATGACTCTGACTTGATGATTTATAATTATTGCTCTGCTTTCTGGATGTCCATTAGCCATCTCTTTAATATTCTAGTCTAGAATTTTTCCAGGAATAGAGAACAGGCTTATTGGCCTGTAGCTTATATGCTCCATTCTCTTGGCCTTTTTTTTGAAAATCAGGACAAGAATTGCCCTTTTATAGTTTTACAGTACCTCTCATATTTTCCATGATGTTTCAGATATTACTGACAGTGGCTTGGCATTCATGTCTGCCAATTGTTTCAGGATATAATTCATCTGAGACCGCTGACTTGAATCCATCAAGGACAACCAGGTGCTCTTTTTCTATTGCTTTCCTTATCTTGGATATCAGTTTGTTGTTAGCAATTTTTTATTCTCTCATTTCTGGTGCAAAGGTCTTCTTGACAGAGACAAACCAGTTATTACAGTCCAATTCCCTCCTGCCTTAAGCAAAAGTTCTATCCATCTTCTTTGTTATTCCCTTTTCTCCCAGTATTGCTTAAAACAAAACAACAAACCAGCAGCCTGCTGTTTTTTGTTGCCATTAGCTTCCATAGCTGGCATCAATTCACCACAAGTTTTAACACTTAAGGAATAATTTTTTAGAGGATTGTGCCTTGTTCTGATATCAGCCTCTTTAACCTGCTTTTGATTCAATCTTCTGCACATTTCTTTTTACGATATGTTAGTTGGTAAAGTTTCCTGTGTATCCATAGTTGTCTCTTCAAACATTTCTCATTTTTCTTCCTCATTCAGATTGTTTCTGTGTCCTTAGAATTTCATTCTTGAGAATTTCTTAACCCTTCTGGGCTGATTTTCTCCTGTTGAATTTTAGTTTATGCGATTCTAACAGTCTTTCCTCTCCCTTTGAAAACTACTTTTTTTTTCCCCAAATCTAGGGTACTTATCAGACTACAACAAGATTTCCTCTCCTCTGTCATTCTCCTTCTTTCCCCTAATCTCCCCTGTTCTCACCACTTCTACTTCAGCAATTTTCCTCTATTGGTGAGAATTAGATCCAGAATAGGATTGCTCCTTATTGGTTCCCTGCACATTTTGGAGGATGAAATTGTCATTATGTCAAGTTAAGAAGTCATTAGCTGCTCTTACGTAGAGAAGGAGAGGGGAGAACAGGTGTCTGAATAATTGAGGTTTCCAGTCACTACTCTTTCATGCCCATATGATAGGCTTATGATCTGTTTCCCCAAATGTCTCATCTATTTACTTTCTTTCTTTTTTGGTCCAGGGAATCTGCAGTCTTGTTTTTGTTCAGTTGTTTTCAGTCGTGCCCAACTCTTTGTAACCCCACTTGGGGTTTTCTTGGCAAGGATACTAGAGTAGTTTGCCCTTTCCTTCAATTCATTTTACAAATGAGGAACTGAAGCAAATAGGGTTAAGTGATGTGCCCAGGATCATGCAGCTAGTAAGTGTCTAAGGTCAGATTTGAGCTCAGGAACATGGGTCTTTCTGACTTCAGTCTTTACACTGTATCCACAGTGCTACCTCGAGGTCTTGATATGTAGTCTCCTCCATAATAAAATCATTTCTGTTTCTCCCTCTGACCTTCACCCAAATGCTCTCCACATGTATTTTCCTCCTCTGGTTCCTGGATTTCCTTACATAAATTAAATACACTTTCCTTATAATTGTATCTTCCATCCTCTACCATCCACAACCTTATTTCTATCCCTTTGCCTGTCCTGTTTCTTTAGAATAAAGAATACTTATCTAGGACCATGTTTAGTCATGTTTCATCCTGTGACTAAAGTCTCAGTGATGCCTATGAGGTCAAAGTTGTCCTTTTGATTTTGGTCTTCCACTTCCATTTCTCTATAATTGTTTGAGGTCAGGTGTCTTACTACTGGTGTCTTGCATTTCTTCTTTTCCTCTTGTGAACCTATGGCCATCTCAAAGGCTGTTCTTCTTTAACTGTAGCTGTGTAGGACATAAACGGGCAGTCTTCTCCCTTCCTACTTCTTTTTAGTTTAAAGCCCTTTCATTTATCAAAATTTGTTAATAGACCAAAGAGTTTTTAGCTTAAAAACCACGAATTTGTTCATCCTTCATAAATCCTTTATGATTGTGCTTCCTGTTTTCTTGCTAACCAATATAGCCATCAGTTCTCCAGTGCTGAATTTTGAGCTTGCTTTTATCCCAGTTGTAGATGCTGATATAGAAGAGAGACCCAGATTTACCTCTGCATTCTATATTAAGTATACCACAGAATTTTGATTAGATGGAAGTAAACTGCATCACTTTCAGTAATTGAATTCTTAACAAATACAAAAACACTTTATTCTTGTATCTATATATACAATAGTTTCAGTGATCTTTCTTTACAAATCTATGTGTAAACTCTGAATTGATGAACTAAATAGAATCTGGAGGCTTAATTTCTCTCTCTCTTTCTCTCTATTTTTCCCCAGGCTTCATTTCCAACCTGACCATTCAGAGACAGTATTTCCCAAATGATGAAGATCAGACTGGGGCAGCCAAAGCCTTGTTGCGTCTCCAGGACACCTACAATTTAGATACAGATACCATCTCAAAGGGTAACCTTCCAGGTAAGATGAGCCCATGCTTTCCAAAACACCTGTCACCTGACTGAACTGCTCAGTCCATTAGTACTCTGACAATGTGAGGAGCTTTTGTATTTTCAGATCTGTAATTGATAGTATGACTGGTAGTCTTGAGGCCTGAAATAACCTTCCTTTTTCTAGCACTTGATAGGTTAGCTGCATGCTAGAAATTGACCTTGGAAGGCAAAATTGGTTTAAAGAAATAAGGAAAGAAAACTTTTCCATAATGATTTTTCTTTTTCTTAGTTTTCCTGCTTTGTATAGAAAATTTCCACAAAGTTGGCTATTACAGTACGTATATACCATATTTCAAGATGGGACATGTGGCGGATATACACAATCAGATTTTTTTAAAAGTGCTCTGCATTGTGCAGGATATCCTGCTTTTTTACTTATTTCTGGCACAGGCCTCTATCCCTGTCAGCTGCCAACCAAGCCTGGGATATGAAGTCTTACTTTGCCACCACTCTGTGCTTCTGGGGATTTCCTTGGTTCTATTGCTTAGAGAAATAGGAAATTATACCTGCTGCCTCTGCTTAGATTAATGCTAAAGGGACCTTTTGAATTGGTTGATTTTGTATTTTGAAAAGAGAAGTGGAACTAGTTTTTTCCTAGCTGAAAAAATTGAGATAATTTGCTGTGAATTTCCTCTTCCCCCCTTGCTGTCATATCCTATCACTCAAATGCCTTCTGACTCTCTCCTCCATCACAATTTCACATGATGAAGTTTGCTTACTCCTTACCAAGGCCAATCCCTCTAACTGGCCGAGTAATTCCATTCCATCCTGTCTCCTTCAAGAGATTCCCCCCCTGCCCTGTCATCCCTGCTCTTTTACTTATTTTCAATCTTTCCCTCCCTACTGGCTCTTTTTCTATTGCCTAGAAACATGACCGTGTCTCCTCATACTGAAAAAAAAACCTTCATTTAATCCTTTCATGCTTGCTAACTATTGTCCTCTATCTCTTCTGCCCTTTGTAGCTAAACTCTTCCTAAAGGCAGTCTACAGTGAGTGCCTCCACCTTTTCTTCTCTTAACCCTTTGAATTCTGGCTTCCGACCTTATGATTCTACCAAAACTGCTCTTTCCAAAGGTGCTCATGATCTTTTAGTTGCCAAGCCTGGTGGCCTTTTCTCTATCCTCATTCTCCTTTACCTCTCTGCAGTGTTTGACACTGCTGATCACGCTCTCCTCCTTTATACTCTCTTCTATCTAGGTTTTTAGGGTACTGTGCTGTCCTGGTTCTCCTATGAGACCATTTCTTCTTGTCTTCTTTGCTGTATTCTCCTCCAGATCACACCCTCTGACCCTAGGTATCCCTCAGGGTTCTGTCCTGGGCCCTCCTCTCTTCTTCCTCTATACCATTCCCCGTGTTGATCTCATCAGGCCCAATGGATATAATTACCATCTCTATACTGATGATTCTCAAATCTACCTTTCCTGCCCCGACCTCTGCTGACCTTGAATCTTGTATCTTCAACTGCTTTTCAGGCATATCAAACTGGATGTCCAGTGGACATTCTAAACTCAACATGTCTAAAATGGAACTCATTTTCTTTCCCCCAAGACCTCCTTCCCTTCCTACTTTCCCTATTACTGCTGAGAACAACACCATCCCCCAAGTCCCTCAGGCTGAAGAATCATCCTGGATTCCTCACTATCTCTCACTCCCCTCTCCCCCCTCCCCCAGTATCTAAGCTGTTGCCAAGGCTGGCAACATTTTTCATATGTGACCCCTGTTCTCCTCTGACACTGCCACCACCCTGGTTCAGGCCCTTATCCCCTCACACCTGGATTACTGCAATGGCATGCTGGTAGGTCAGCCTGCCACAAGTCTCTCCCTAGTGCTTTCTCCATTTAACCACTAAAGTGGTTTTCCTAAAGTGCAGCCCTGAGCATGTCACTCCCTACTCAATAAACTCCAGGGGCTTCCTGTTGCCTCCAGGAGCAAAAACAAAATGCTCTGCTAGGTATTCAAAGTCCTTCATAGATCTCCTACCTTTCCAGTCTTCTCAGACTTTATTCCCCTACCCATGCTCTGTCATCCAGTGACACTGGCCTCAAGGGTGTTCCATGAATAAGACACTCCGTCTCTGAGTTTGGGGCATTTTCTCTGACTGTCCCACCTACCCTAGAATGTTCTCCCTCCTCCATTCTGACTACTGACTTCCTTTAAGTCCCAACTAAAATCTCACCTCCTGCAGGAAGCCTTCTCTAACCCCTCTTAATTCCAGTGGCTTCCCTCTGTTAATTATTTCCTGTTTATCCTGTATGTAGCTTGCTTTATATGTTTGTTTACATATTTCCCCCACATTAGGTTGTAAGCTCCTTGAGAGCAAGGACTGTCTTTTGTCTCTTTTTTTATCGCTTATGCTTAGCACAGTGCCTGGCACATAGTAGGCACTTATTTTTGATTGAATTGAATTGAATAATGGTTACATTTTTCTGTTCATCTTCTCATTAACACTAATCCTAGTGTAGTCTATAAGCTTTCAAAAGTTCATGAAATTTTAGCAATGTGTGAATTTTGTTTCTTTGCTCTATTAATACACTCTCATTTTTCTGATAAGAAGAATGATTGCTGGTTATAAAAATTAACTTTTGGTTCCTTTGTTTCCTGTGAATTTTCTAAGTTGCTTGCAGTTTATAACTAGGGTTTGAAACATTTATTATTGGCTGAATGGCTGAATAAGTTGTGGCATGTGATTGTGATGAAACACAACTGTGATGTAAGAAATGATGAGCAGGTTGATTTCAGGAAACCATGGAAAGACTTGCATGAAACAATGCAGAGTGAAACGAACAGAACCGAGAGAACATCGTATACAGTAACAGCAATAATGTTCGAAGAGTAGCTGAATGATTAAGCTATTCTGAGTAATATGAACATTCAAATCAGCTACAAAGGATTTATGAAAGAAAATGTTATCCACCTCCAGAGAAAGAACCGATATATGGAAGTTTGTATTGTGCGGTTCCACATATGTAGCTATATCAAGTGCTGGCCTTCTCTAATGCTGGGTTGGGAGGTAGGGAGAAAGACACCTACCAACTCCAAATGTAACGCTGCCCCCCAAAAAAAGAAACATTTGTCATTATCCATCTTGATAAGACAAACTCTTGGTTGAATCTACAACTGTACTGTTGATTCTATCCACTGAGAGCTCAGCACCTTATGTTAGTGATATGTTACTGACGCTTTTTAACTTAGAGAATTTTAACTCATTATGTAAGTTCATCTATGTTGAGAAAGTCCGTTGTTTCTATTTGAGAAAATTTTTTTTAAAAATTGCTACTCATCATTCGTGTCTTCCTGGTCATGTTCATGTCCTTTTTCTGTAGGAGTCTGCTCAACAGGCTGGGAGCTTCTAGATTTCTTGACATTGAATAGACATTAGTGGAGTACACAGGCTGCCCATTAGTCGTCCATTGCTTCTGTTGTATGTCTAGCTATATTGATTTTCTGGTCGTACATCTCTGGTATTCTTTATGCTACTTCTTTGGCATATTTCTTGATTGGTAATAGGTTGTGATTTGTTTGCACCTAACGGGCACTTCTTTACCCATTGCTCTTTGAATGACATGTGGTTTCAGAAATGGGTATTCCATGATTTGCAGTGTATAGCCCCACTGGAAAGATTACTCAAATGGATCTGCAATCTCTTTAATTTGGGAGTTCCTGCCAGTAATCTAGATCATCCTCATCCACAGCTCTCCATCTGGGGCGACTCCAGTTCATGGCTTCTCAAAAGTTTTCAATAAGGAGGCCTTCCTTGATTTCTCTTGCTACTGGGAGAAAGGGAGGGAACCCCCCTGCTTGTCCACCTGTCATCCTTCATTCCTGCCCCATGAGCAGCCCATCTTTTCTTCTTTGATGATGTCCTTACTATTGTTCTTCACAGGAGTTCCTTGTTGGTTCTGTGTTTCGGTGCACTCACATCCATCATATGCCTCTCCATTGTTCTCTTTGTGATATTCACTTTTAATTCTTCAGAGGTGGCTGTATTTCTGTGTCTCGTTGCAATATAGTAAAACTGGTAGAATGTTAGTATTGAAAAGATGGGCCCTCATGGAAAGCCTGGGGTCAGGGAAGGAGCTCTGCCCTTTCCCCAGGACAACCCAAACTACTTTCTTTCTCTTCATTTTAGGGCCCAATTCATTGTTCAACATCAGAATCTATCAAGGATAAATGTACAGATGAACCAGATCTATGGGTTGTACATAGAGTTGTATATCTGGACAACAGGCTTTCTTCATCCATTTCTGTATTGTGAGAATATAGATGGTTCTGCAACATTCTGGAACTTAATTTAGTAAATATAATGTCAACCACAAACAGGCATCTCTGGAGGAACTTGCCACCCATAGGCAATCCTTTTTCAATTTGGATTCTCTGCTGAACATCCTATATGATGTCAGACAACTTTGGCAAAGAAAAGTCTTATTTTTTCGTTTTCTGTGCTTCGCTGCATATTAATATTCAGTGTCATTGAACAAGGTTATCTGTGACCTTTTAAACAATCTCAACATACTTGGAAAACTAGCTTGTTAGAAGAGGAGAGCCTATAAAGGTGGTAGCATTTTGCTGTAGAGAAGTAAATGCTTGTTTTTATTCAATGCACAATAAGTGCAGTACATACTTGTGTTTTCCATGCCTTTCAGTCATTTGTGTGAGTGTAAAGTTCAGGTCTGCTAGAGGCTGTGATTTAGGAAAGCTTGCCTCTTCCTCTTTCATACCTTCATGAAAGATTCACCCAATGTGTGTGCAGATTATTCTAAAAATTTTGAAGAAGTGGGAAAGAAGACATAGATTGATAGCTTTGGTATTTTCTCTGATGCCTTTTTTGATAACAGGGTCTGTGATTTTTTTTTTAAGCCTTTGACATCTTCTCTTTTTTCTTGTATCTTGAGAATTAATCCCTCAGTGTCCTCAAAATTGTGTTGCATCCAGCATGGACCCTCTCTATCTTGCCTGTTCCAGTCCAGC